AATCTTCCATACACTTTTCTTAGGCCCGTGAAGGTATGGCTTTTAGTTGCTTCGGCGAGTTCTCTTTTACCGATTCAATCGACTCAAAACGCTTACCACGAAGGGGCAATTTAAGTTTCGGAAACAGGAAAACGTCGCACGACGCCAGATCTGGCGAATATAGTGCCTGAACGATGTCAGTGGTGCCGTGTTTGGTCAAAAAATCGCGTACAACAAGAATTATCCATAGTAAAAATCGCTAAATGCACTTGAGGTAGTCTCACATTAACAGCTGCTGTAAACAAACTAATTGACAGATGGCGCTCAAATTTGTACCATATTTCAAGAAAAGGTGTACCAACATAACAAAAAAAATTTTTTTAAAAAGGTCCATTACTTAAGGAGTAGTTAACAAACAACGAAATCCGGATACTTTTTGAGCAGAAGGTACTATGATATATACCATATATATGATATATTGTTTAATTTATGTGTTTATTTATTCACTTAATTTTCTTTTTGAATTAATTTTGAAATATATATTGTACTGTGTTTAAAAAAATGATAACTGGATGGAGGTAGCTATATGAATCTGCATGGAAATTATTAATAAGCTATATAAGCAGAAAATTTAAATTCATTAAAAAAAATTTCAAAAGAATTTACCAGTAGTCATCTTTCATCGTTTTAAGATATTTCTTGTAAACAATTCTGATTATCTTCTCAGAATGTTTTCGAAGATCTGATGCTTAATCAGATTATCGCGTTAGCTTGCTTCATTAAACTAAAATTTCGTTCTGATGCAGTGATATGATTTTAGCAAAAAAAAATTTTAGTAAATAGGAACAACATCTCTTTAGGTTGATAAGCAATTTTGAGTTAATTAATTCATAAAAGGCAGATTATAATATTTGGAATAGACGTACAACATATTTAGCACATATATATATCCGCATTTGAACAAACATTTACCAGCACAAATATATGCATACGATATTATGACAGTTGGGGAAAATGTATTGTATGTATTTATTGCTTTTGACAAAATGACATGTGACATTTCCCACTCAGTCGTGTTTTTCCGCTGATTTCTAGAGCAGCGCCACATCACGCTGCCGCTGCTGGATGACATGTTGCCAATTAAAAAAAGAAAATACAAACAAAAGTTAAACCAAAAATATTCAAATATTTTGTATGCAGTACATTTAAGAAAAAAATTCATATTTTATGCAGATATTTAATATATTTATATTTCGCAACTGCAGAGCAACAGCTGCAGTAATAGCAGATTGTTGCTGCTGTTTAAACTGTCAACACCTGCTGTGCTTGATGGTTTTTGCGTAAATGTGTGCTTTGAAAAAACACCAGAAGAATTTAAGTTTTCGCCAGCAATCCGAAACTGAAAGTACGAAACTAAAGCTCAACGTGACTACAATCTTAAACTAATAGAACAAAATTAGTTATCACATTAAATTTGAATCGATAGTTTTTCGCAAACCCACAATAATGAGCGGAGTGAACTGAAGTGTATATGTCCATTATGTGTTTCTGCAATTATTTTTTGGAACTTTTATTTGAAGCACTCATGTTGTCTTGATTATTTTAAATTTAGTTCAGTAGACATGTTTCCGCAGAATGTGCAACAAAATGAACTATACTTTTCATATACTTCTTCACAAATTATGCAGCAATTATTTTTGTTCAACCGTTTACTGCACAGATACACGTCATTTGCAACATTTTCAGGCCTTATTGCATGCGACAAATGTAGCTTGAAATCTGTGCTCCTAAATTTTGCGACATTCAAAAAAGACACAGCAGCACATATATTTCAGCTTCAACCAAATTGAATTTTCTTTTGTAAATTTGAATTAAAAATTAACTGCAGCTATAAAAACTTAATCTTCTTCATCACCTTCAACCACTATTCAAAAATGCTAAGAACAGAATGCTAAGAACAGAAAGCTAAGAACCAAATAACTCGTCCGTCACTTCTATATGGTTGTGTAGCATTTAGCAAACTCTCAAACACTACTATTCGTCAGCTAAAAATTGCACAAAGCCAGGCTCTGAGAAGACTTTTCTAAGTACCATAGAACATTAGGACGAATGACATCCTCATCGACCTCAAGATTGATCCCATCAAAAAATACATAAAAGATAGAGCCCTGAAATTATTTGAGATAACTGACAGACTTACCAACACCGCGTTATCAAATCTCAAAATGGTTACAGGCTCCTCGGGGAGGTATGCAGATCTGAGGTCAATTATTGCTTAGTCTGATGAAGTGATAAACAATAATCCAGTCAAGGCGAAGAGAGGGGTTATGAAGAAACCTCGCAGTTAATAGAGAGTAAAAGTGCTCAAGTGCACTGACTCAACTAGCTTTCACATAATAATATAAAAACTTAACTTATCTTCGCATCTATATACATAAAAGAAAGTCGTGTTAGTTAGACCACTCATAACTCAAGAACGGCTGAACCGATTTTAATTATCTTTAATTTGTTGGAATCGTCTCCGCTCCGAATAGCAGAATACATTATAAAATATTGGAAAAGTCCACTAATTTTAGCAAAAAAAATAAATTTGTAAATGCTGTTTCAAACTGTTGACAGTTCGACAGTTTGAGTGATATTGATTTCTTTTTAAATTTTTTTTTCAAATATTTCAAATATTTGAAATTTCAAATATAATAAATTCAAATATAATAAATAAATATTGTTATCAATATACCATCGAATCCACGTGACCTGTGGAACAAATATAAGGATAACATGTCAGAAGACATTTTACATAGAATTCGTGTCAGTTCAATCCCGATCTTGAGGTGAATGATGAAATGCATAATCAGGCTTTGCTCTTGATCGAAGACATATGTTACCATACCTGCGGTAGTTTGTTAGTCAGATTAGGAATGCCAGCTCCTGATCGTGGAATAAATAACGCATTTAATCGAGAATTGGAACGTGAACGTGAATATGATCGACATGAATTAGACCAATCAGTTCAAACTAATGTACCTCTATTGAATCCGCAACAGAAGGAAGTTTAACATTAATGAAAGTGATTGATGAAGAAAATGGTGGCTTTTTTTTCCTGGACGCCACCGGTGGGACTAGTATATAGTATGTAACGACCTTTTCCCGGCCCTATCTACAGCTGGGGTATACTCAGTGAGTATACCAGGGTTCGTTATAAGAAAATTTATCTAAGTAAAATAATAGAGACACTTCTGTTTAAAGTAGCGTTTATTATTTAACAAAAAAATAAGAAAATATAATCAATTTGTGGAAAGCGATGTTGAAAATGTTGCTAATGATGTAGAATGTTGTAATGATGTTGTAGACGGTGTAGCATGTTGTAAAATGTTGTATGGTGTTATAAATGTTGTAACGATGTTGTAAACGGTGTAGGATGTTGTGAAATGTTGTATGATGTCATAAACGCTGTCACGATGTTGTAAACGGTGTAGAATGTTGTGAAATGTCGTATGACGATTGCTTGCAGTGGTGCGCAAGTTGCTAACCTGTAACAGGAGAAATTCCAAATAGCTAATCTCTAGAAACTCTAATATCAATATAAAGCAATACCTTTGTCAGCAAAAGTCAGACAAGGGTTCCTTCCTACTGTTACGCCTGGCCACGTCCGTCAGCAATTGCCAAACGCTCGTTGTCCACACGCCTTCTGACAGTGTTGGTGACTCGTCTCCCATTCCCCATCAGCTAATGCCCAAATGGAAGTCTGGATGACTAGTTAATTTACCCTACGCCAGCAAAAGCCAAGCAGAAGGTAACTCAACTGGTTAAATTACCCTACGCCAGCATAAGCCAAGCAGAAGGTAATTCAACCATTATCACTTCACCCAAACTAGTTCATCCATTCACATGGTGATCGTCAGCAATGGCCAAACGAATCAACATATGCCTGGACCAACTAGTCCGAGCTCCCACTATCATCCCTAATAAAAGTGACTTACCTTGAAGTGAAAGAAATTCCAAATAGAAAGATTTGGCAATTTCGCTGCCCTTTTATTTGAAATTCCTTCCATTACATACAAAAACAATAATTATTTTCAAATAAACAAAGTCCCGTAAATTTGTCAAAACAAATCTCTTATTGTTGTACGCATTGCAATCAAATTCAACAAAAATAACTGCATCACATAAAAAATGCGTGCACAATATTTTTCTTAAATTTGTTTATGCAGACAAACAAGAGAAATAGTTACAACAAATTTAACTAACTTTTATTAGCGGCAAAAAATTAATCAAAACATATTTTACTTTACAGGGTCATTCGTTTATAAAAAATGTTTGTCTTTGATATGTAATTTACAGGGTCAAAAATAGGTGTTACTGCAGAAAAATTTTATTGAATATAGAAATATGTTTTATTAAGTGGATTTAAAACTCATTATAAAAAAACCCATTATACTATTAATTAAATTTGTGAGCCTATATTTTAATGCAAAATTTGGGCCTTACAAGTAT